CAATGAGCAATGCCCCATTGTTTCTTCTCCTGCCCTCAGGTGCTATGGAGAATAAATCAACTTCATTGTCTCTTGACTAGTCCTTCAAGTATCAGAAGACAGTAATGTCACCCCTATGTCTTCTCTTTGCTAGGCTAAACATACCTGGTTCTCTTAACTGTTCATCATACGATTTAGCCTGCAGACCCCTTATTATCCTTGTTGCTCTTCTCTGCACTCTTTTTAGTACCTCAGCATTTTTATGTATTGGAGTGTCCAGACCAGGTCAAGTAATTGTGATTTCCTTATCTGGAGAACAAAGAAACCTACAATTCAAAAATGGTTGAAGAACAGTTGCTAGACAAATACCCATGAACTGGGTTAGAGCATTTTAATGGGGGCTCTATTATAGGCTAATGTAATCCCACCCGCATTGTTGTGTTACCAAGTAAAAGCTCCCACGAAAAATTGAAATGTTAAAGGAGCCTGGATAGCTCAGCAGACTAATGCATTGTAATTTAACTCCAGTTGTCTGCAATTAGTAAGTTCGAATCTCGCCAGGCTCAAGGTTGACTCAGCCTTCCATCCTTTCTAAGGTAGGTAAATTGAGGACCCAGTTTGTGGAGGCAATAAGCTGACTTTGTAAAAATATACAAAAGTATAAAGGCTATTGCTTAACGCATTGTAAGCCGCCCTGAGTCTCCGGAGAAGGGCGGCATATAAATCAAATTTAAAAAAAGAGAGAGAGAGAGAAGGTTGATATGGAATGAATGCCTATCAGGAGAAATAAAAATAGTGTGTTAGCACTTGATGTGATTGATGTGATTTAGATTGATTAAAAATCATCCTATTTTTGTGATAATATTAGCATTTAGCCATTTGAAATAACTGGCAGACTAAGAGCGTTCCATGAACTGGAATAGGGAATTCTAAGTTTGTTGCATATTCTGGATTGTTTTTATTTTTGTGCAGCATCAAAAAGGAAGAGAATCCATGTAGGGCTGCATGTAATTGGTTCTGGGTTTCCTCAAAGACTTTTTTTACATTGTCAGGACAAATCTATCTAAAAGCTGAACTGCTATCCTGGACATATTAATTCTTGAGACCATATCTGCCAAGACCCTCTGCAATAATTAATTGATTAAAATAAAATGTGTGTTTGTGTGAGTGTGCATGTTTCTATCCCACCTAAACTCAGAAAGGAAAAATAATCATAGTTGTGACATAATATGTACAATTCAGTTTCTTTTAATAAACTGGGTTTTTAAGATCAATCCCATCTGAAATTAGGAAAAAAAAAACTGAATTAGGAATAGGAAATTATTGCGGTCCCCATATGTATTGTGTCTACCAGTAAGTCATGCACTTGGTTCTTATCAGACTCCTCTCTTGTTTGATTTTTAAACAATATGCTTTCATTGGTAACTTCTAATTTTTATGTGGTAACCTTGTATGCTGCAAAATAAAGTATCAGGCATTACGCACTTGGTTTTTACAGGATTTCCCCCAGGCCTCCTGTAGCCATCATAGGCATTCTTACAAGATAAAAAATGGATATAGTCTGTATTTGATGTGGGAGCATCTTCCCTCCTCCCCCTCAAAAAGAGAGAGAAATCAAGATAAGATGTACTGAGAGAAACCATTATGGATAGAGAAGCTGTAAGCGTTAACAAGCTACAGCCTCATCAATTTGCTTTCCTTCCTTCCTTCCTTCTTCCTTCTACCATGGCAGCCATTTTGTATCTAGGTACAACTTTGTTTTTTATTTTTTCCAATTTTCTGAACCAGTATTCTCAAAAGCCTTTAAGATATCCATTTTGATGCTTATCAGTTGTTGCCTAGGAGCAAGTGGACTGAAACTCTTCCCCAAAATTCCATCTCCAACATTTTGTCATCTTTGCACCTTTTTAGGTAAGATGTTTACAAGCCGCCCAGAGTCATCTCTAGACAAGATGAGTGTCACACAAATTTAATAAATAAATAAAATTATTTCTCATTATTATACTTTTTAAATCTGCACACAATTTACAGTATAGACCTCCAGAGTCCTCTCCTCCTCCCCACCCCCCACCCCCCCAAAAAATCCCATAGGATAATATCAGTACTTTATTTTTCCTGGTGTTGCATTAGCCATTTGAAGCTTAAAGGATTAAAAAGGGATTTGTTCCATTTTGTGGAACACGGATGTGCACATCTTTAGCAAACCACATGGTGTCACTTTTTATCTACAGTTCACTGTGCTGCAAATTACTCCAAGGGAAAATTGCACTGTAAACTTGAAATCTCCTGCTGACTTCATGATTGATTCTAAACAAGGCTTCATTGTGAAATGACCCATTTACAGAGATTTATTGGGGATACAAGTGCAATCACTTTTCATGTTCAACCTTCCAGTGTTTTCGTATTGTTTTTCCCCATTCTTTTCCTATTGAAGAAAAGCCACAGACTGGGAAACAAAATAAGAACCTGCAGTACTCCTAATGTTGCTGAACTATAACATCCAATAGCCCTATTCAGCATAACCAGTGGCATATTTGGGGTTTTAATTCAACATTATCTGGGAAATCACTTCTGGGTCATGTAACAGGCCAAACGAATTTTACCTTTTAAGAACAGTGTGTTTGCTGGTAATGAAAACATACAACATAAGCAACATATATACTTTCTATGTTGCCACATAAACCATTTGTCCAAAACAAGAGTCTCTTTAACTTATAATTATGAAATAAGCTTCAAAAATGAGGAATGATGATCTGAAAGAAATTTTCAGAAGCCATGAGGAAGTATTTGAGTAGGATTTGTGTGTATAATGTATTCTTCTGCCCATTCCCCTTTCTTTCTGATTCCTTTGTAAACCGTCTAGCTTTTACAGCAAATTACTTCTTGGTATGTGTACATACATGTAAGGGCCTGGCTCATTATTGTGTTTGTGCCTGCACTTTCCCTCAAACCCAGCTGGCTAATGTTTTGAGAGGGAGGATGAAAGTACTTGGGCATACTTTGCCCCCATGGTAGGTGGGATGACTCAGATGCTTGAATCATCAGATGCCATCTGAAAATATCTCTTCTGCTAAGCCTACTAAGCTTAGCTTTGGACATGTTTGGGGCTGCATTAGAAGGGTATGTGGAAAACAAGCAATGTCGGACCAGATGGCCAGTGAGGTACATGATACTGAAGATTCATCCACATTAGGTTTCCATATGTTTGATCTTCTGTTATAACTCTGACACAGCATAAAACATGTCTAAACCCCTGTTTTGCCTGACTCAGGCACAAGCAGGTGTATACTATTTGCACAACACAATTATTTGAGTCATTGGTGGTGGTATCTCATGGGAATAGGAGCCAATTCTCTCATGCAATTAATTTAGATTTACTCAAAAGACATCTAATTCTTGCACTGTACTTAAAACTACACCACCCAGCTTGTTATGTTGTGGAAAGGAGGGGGGGGGAACCCCTATGAGAAAAAGAGCACATAAAAAAGCAGGTTTACTACCGAAGCATGATAGCATTATAGCCTCTCTAAATCAGTTGATGATATAATGTTTGCTGGTCCTCTCACAATAAGGACACATTAAAGAATGGCAGGTGACTTTGGGCCATTTATTCTCACTCAGACCAACCCTTCTCACAAGACTATTGTTTGGAGAAAATAGGAGGGAGTATTAGGTTTGTTCACCACCTTGAGTTACATACATGCAAAGATACCAATTGGGTAAAAATTTAGTAATAATGACAATGAAGTGTTCATGAAATACCACCATGCATTTCTTGGAAAAATAAGTGGGGATTCTGTATTCCAAAACATGATTTTTTAACCAAGTTAGTATGATGCTATGCTCCCAGAGCTACTAGTTAGGTCCCTTGACTGGCTAATGAGTTATGTATCTTGAGAATTCCTTTCCTTTGTAGCATTTTCTTTAACAATAGCAATAGCACTACCGCTTCACAGTGCTTTACAGCCCTTTCTAAGCGGTTTAGAGTCAGCATATTGCCCCCAACAATCTGGGTTCTCATTTTACTGACCTCAGAAGTATGGAAAACTGAGTCAACCTTGAGCCTGGTGAGAATCAAACTGCTGGCAGTCAGAATTAGCCAGCAAAACTGCATTTTAACCACCGCAGCTTTAGCATCTGGTTAGATCCCTAGTTCTTTCCATGCTCTTCACTTGATCAGGCTGACACTGGGCTATCATGTTGAGTTATGACTAGTTTCTAAAAACACTGACAAATTGTAATACGTATAGGAAAGAAGGGCCAGGGTCATTATAGTTTTGAAAATAAATTGACCAAGAAATCTTGGTTTACTAAGGCCTGGAGAAAATATGCTAAAGGTGATTATGGAGAGGCTAGACTTATTTTGTTGCTCTGCAGACTATAACACCAGGTCCACATTTCAATTAAACATTGAAGAAGTGCCTAACTCTTGAGATTTCTTGGTTAAAATTGTAAAAAAGGATATTCTTGCCATTGTTGAAGATATAGTTAGGTATGCCAAAAAATGTTGCTTTATAATATTGCATTTCTTTCATTTAAGAAGCATTCACAACCAGGATACAATTGAGGAGGAAGATTTTATATAATGAAATAAACTTGATGAGAGAAGGTCATTGATCAGGTCAGTCACCTTTCAACTTTTCTATTTTGTATTGCTTTGGGATAGGACATTTGGAGGTTAAACATCATTATGCCTGGCAGGAAGGGAGAAGTAATGGCAGAGATAACTTTCAGTTCTGATTGTTCCATGCCCTATAGGTAGCCACATAATAATACCCCATTACTATAATTTTTCTGATGTTCTAGTGGTAGATCCTGTTAGGCCACTGGAAATTCTAAATCAAAAACATCTTCAGAATGTGCATTTTTTTCCCACCCAAAAATCGGTGTGTATCTTTAGTATTGTTGTTCAATACTGTAAATAATATTATGAATCATTAGTGGGCAGTTTTGACTGTAAAGTGCATTCTGAATAAAGATGGAGAAATAACCTGAATTTATAAAGACACTGAAAACATTAATAGAAATATTGTCCAAGATTTTACTGCAAACCAATGGGTTTGGTCACAAAAATGGTACATATAACCATGTTAAGTACATTACAATGGTGGTATACATTATGAGCCTTTAAAGTTTTTTTTTTTCTTTTAAATATTCATTTAGCATTGCAATCAACTGTACACATCTTTTTACAAATACATACAACAAGGAATGCAAGCAAACAATACCCATAAATAATGCCCAAGTTTACAGATTATGAACAAAAAAAATGAACTAACCCAAAAGATTAGCAGACAACAGCTGGGGCATTTTGGTCCATAGAAACCATTTCTAAAAATAGAAATATTTATATACATATCTTTCTGTATATATATATTTCCATAGCAGCAATGCTTTCTTCAAGCATTTGGGATACAAGTAGTTGAAGCCCATTTGAACTATATATTTTTTACATATTTTTCTTAAAAAAATCACTATCTACATTTATTAATTTATTGTCTTCCAAATATGGAAGGAACGAACAATGCCCCACACTGCCCTCCAAGTGTCACATAGACACCTCTGAGCTAAGTCCATCTGGGGGAATATACAAATCACACTCCTGCCATTTGTCCATGTTACACACTCGCTCACACATGAATCCAAAAGCACTCTTGTGATAAAAACTTCAGAGTTCACAAAGATCTCAACGTCCGGAGGGGGAAAAAAGGCACGTCTTCATAAAGTTCTCTTCACATCCAGAAAGATCTCCAAGTTGGGGGCGCTATGCTCACCAATCAAGGACACTCAAGGAGTTTTGTTCTGAGGCTTATACTTTAGAGCAATCTATGGCAGCAGCTGCATTTTTTCCCTTCTCCTTTTAGAACTTGCAACCGTGATGTAGCACCACTTGGGTGACTGGGAAGAACCAGTAGTGAAATGTCATGAGTTCACGCAAAAGGAGTTAAATGTGCTCTTCCAGTTGACAAGAACAACACCACCCCCCCTTCAAAAAAAAAAAAAAAAGCTTTCAGCAAACGATAGAGTTTGAAATTAAGGCTGCAAAGCTGCCACACAGTGGGAAGATGTGCAAAAAATTTCTTATCTTTCAAGATGACCAGGCAACTGGCAGCTCGATCAGAATGCCAAAAGAACGATTATTATTTTTTTTTAAAAAAAGAAAAGAAATCATAAAATTCAAAGGAAAGAATCCATGGGGGGAGCATAGGAAAAGCCCAGAAATGCTTCGGCAGCCTCTTTGACGCTGGCAGTGATGAGGATGCTGTCTGAAGACTGGCCAATGGAGTTTGGGACAGGCTCCTCTGTAAACTCAGGGTCAAAGTGTCGCAGATCATTGGGCCCGCTCTGCAAGAAAATAAGAGGTATTTGGTTGTTAAATGGTAAACTGCAAGGACACTTAATGCTACACTGTCTTCCAATTCAAAAGTGAATACTCAAGGATCTGATGAAGCCACATTTTCCTAAGAGTAATTGGAAACCAATTCTCAGGTTTCTTCTCACTGTTGACCATTCCTGAGGTCATATAAGGTCCAAGCCAACTTTCTGCATTGGGGAGAAGTCAAAGGTGCTGAAATTGCAGCTGCCAGAATTCCCAGCTAATGTAGCCAAATAATTCTGGAAGTTGTAGTTCCAGGTTATCTGAAAGCTGGCTACCAAGGTTTTAAGCATTTTAGGCACTCTGTATAGGGGAGGGGTGTGTGTGTAACATGCCAATATTAATTAGTCCTGGTGGTTCTCAAAACTAACACCCAAAAGGCATGCTCATTCAGTAGCCTATGCAGACAAAAGGCTGGATCCACAAATTCTGCTGTAGATACTAGAACAGCTTCCCATTTCTCTGCAGCCTTCTCTACCTCTTGAATAAGTCCAAGAAACACTTAGGGCAAAGGAACTTTTCCTGCAGCCTATCTAGATCCAACCTGCCTATCTTGTCCAGGACAGCCTCAGTACCAAAGAACATTTACTTTTAACAGCAGGGCAAATTCAAAACTAAATTACTATGGAATTTAGGCCTACTGAAGCCAGTGAATTTGCTTTCATGTGTATGATAATGAGACTTATCACCAGTGTCCAGCAGACCTCTGAAAATCATTTGATAACTGAAATGCCTCTTTAAATCCACTACTGTGTTCTCGGGTTTAAAAAGCAAACCTTTTAAATTATTAGTTAACTCAAAGTGGTGGAAAAAATACTCTGATGTATGTTTGTGTGTGTATAAAAAGAATTTTTTTTTGCCTTGCATTGGGCAAATCAATAGATGTATTATAACTGTATTTTGTAGGCTATAAAGCTTCTAATCTAGCAGAGACATGTTTAAGTCTTCTGTTAAGTCAAATGCAGGGTTTTTTTCCCCTCCAGTGATGGGTTATTAAGTGTCTGGAGAACTGAGACCTCCTGTGGAATCCTGGTGTGAACTCTGACACTTGCTCTTGATTTATGGACACATACACTTCTGACATCCCCAATAAAATAAATCTTCCCTGGCAATTATGCAATTAGAGAAGAGCCTGTAGTACAGTGGACTAAAGCACTGTTATTAACATCTGCTGCTTGCAATTACTGCAAGTTCAAATCTCACCAGGCTCAAGGTTGACTCAGCCTTCCCTCCTTTCAAAGGTAGGTGAAATGAGGACCCAGATTGAGGGGGCAATAAGATGACTTTATATAAATATACAAAAGTATGAAGGCTATTGCTTAACGCACTGTAAGCCGCCCTGAGTCTCTGGAGAAGGGCGGCATATAAATTAAAGCAAAAAAAGAGAGCTCTTACCACATTTGGGTTAAAAGGTGGTGTAATCTTCTTATTTATAAGATCATCCCAGTTAATTGGAGAGAAGAAAATGTGATTTTTAATCTCCATCTGTTGAAATAATGGAAATTACATTAGTTTAAATGCAAAGAACTGAAACCGTCTAGACAAATTCTCAAATGCCTTTCACCTCTTTTCAAAAGTTATACTTACAAAGTCTTCCTTTGCTCCTAGCCTCTTAGTTCTGTCCTTCTGCAAAAGTCCTTCCAAAAGGTGTCTAGCAGAGTTGGTGATATTTGGCTTCAATTGTAGAGGTTTGTTCAAGATGTTGTCATACATTTCTGCTGTGTTTCTGCTGTAGAAAGGGGGCTGCAAGAAGAGTAGGGATAGTTACTATCCATTGCCTAACCTTACTGTTGTTATTTATTGATTTGCAAAATTTTGCATCTTGTCTTTCCTCTGGGAGTTCAAGGTATCATGCATGCCACTCCTTTCTCCAATTTTGTCCACAACCACTTGTGATGTAAGCTAGACTGCAATCCTACTGAAATATTTTAACCACCCCATCATACAGTCTCTGAGCTTTGATGCAAGACTTACTTTAATGCAATATCCATTAAATAGTCAGATTGGTCTAATGGTTACTGCACCAGGCTAGAAACCAGGAAAATGAGTTCTAGTCCGATTTTAGGTATGAAAGCTGGCTGGATTATTTTGGGCCAGTCTCTCTCTCAGCCCAATTTATCTTACAAGGTTGTTGTGGGGAAATAAGGGAAGGAAATGTATTAGGTATGTTTGCTACCTCGAGTTATTTATAAAAATAAGGGAAGATTTAAAAGAACATTTTTTTCTTGAATTATCAAACCCATTAGGAGAAGGCTGCTGAAGAACCTCACCAGCAAATATGGGCATCGCTGATATTGCTCCATAAACTCCAACTGACTGTCAGTAGCACCAAAGGTTTTTATTTATTTCCTCTACTATAATTACTGGAGTGGCAAACATTCCCAGCAAGCAGATTAAATATGTCATTTCTATTCTTACTTACCAATCCATAAAGCATCTCGTACAAAACTGCCCCAAGGCACCACCAGTCCACAGTCCGGTCATAAGGTTGCTTGTGAAGGACTTCAGGGGCAAGGTACTATTGGACACAAATGAAAGAATGGGAACATTTGATTAGAAAAAAACCTGAAGGCTAATGGCAAATCTAAGATAAACCTACCCTTCTTTAGGCATTTTGCTCAAGGCAGACATGGGGAACCTGCAACCCTACATTATGACTCCAATTCTCTTGACCACTATCTTGTCAACTAAGATGGATTGGATACAGAGGACCACAGGTTCCTCACTGAAACAGCAAAATGCCTGGGGCTCACATATGTGAACTAGGGGCCAGGTCAATCTGGACAGTCAAACCAGTTTCTGCACCTTGAGCATTCTCTACAGGAACTCCAATAGAATTTTCTCTTTTTTTTAACCCTCTAGTGGCATATCCATCAAACAACACCACCCACTTTCACAAGGCTAGTACATAATATCCTATAGTCTCATCAGGGAAACTCCTGCCATCGTCATGCAGTTGCACACTTACAACACCATCACGGGAGAAAGCAGAACTCAAGACTTACTTCAGGAGTGCCACAAAATGTGGAAGTTGTGCCGTTGTGTTCAATGTTCTCTTTGCAGAGTCCAAAGTCAGTCAAAACAATGTGGCCCTGAGAATCGAGCAAAATGTTCTCTGGCTTCAAGTCCCTGTGGCAAAGAATATGAAAGACGGGTCAGCTTCAAAATGTTACCTATCTGAAACTCTTGTCATTCGCATTTGTCCAATTTACAAGCTTTTCCCCAAATAAGTCACTGTCACTATAGTTTTCTAGATGTTTTTTTTTACCCACATCCAGTCCATATCCAGAAACAGCAACCCCTAACCCCTAATTATTTAGGAGTATAAAATTACTGATCTGAAAGCCCATAGCTAGCATTTTGGCAAAACAGCTTGTAAATTAGAACTCCGTTCTAATTTAATATGCATACATTAAGTAGGGTGCTTACCGGTATACAATGTTCAAAGAATGCAGGTAACCCAGTGCACTAGCTATTTCAGCAGCATAAAAACGAGCTCTTGGCTCCAGGAAGCAACGTTCCCTCTGGAGATGGTAGAACAACTGCAAGATAAGAAAGGGGGGGGAATCTATTAGTGATCCCCAAACCTTTGAACAATAAATTTAATTAAGCACAGACACTAAATTAGAGAGGATAATTGTCGGAAATGGCCTAGTAATCCTCTGGCTATTTCCTGCTATTAGAGGCTGGCAAGCAGGAGACTGAATCTAGCATCTCTACCTTTAGAGTCCCCCCTTTTTTATAACAAACAAGGGCACTTGTTACTCTGGACTGACTTCTACTTTCCAGCAAGAACCTAACTCCATTCAACTACCCTTCCCTTTCGAGGGCCCAGGTGTCCCTTTTTGCTCACCTCTCCACCGTTGATGTAGTCTAGGACAAAATACAATTTGTCAGCTGTCTGGAAGGAAAAGTGAAGTCCCACCAGGAAAGGATGCTTCACATTCTTAAGGAGGACATTGCGTTCAGACATAATATGTTTCTCCTGGAAAATAAGAAGAGGTATGGAATCAATTGTTAGTATTCGCCAGAACAACACAACTGAATTGTTATAAAGCAAACCAAGTGACCGCAAGAAAAATCCTAAATTTATACCAACTCAAGAGGGCATAAAACAGCAACTAAGCACCTTTGGATTGATTTTCCACATTCTGCTTCAAAGTGGTGACTTTAAAAGTGGACATTCTGTAGGCTTTAAGATTTGTCTTTTCTGCTTCCTGTCTACTATTTGTTTACCATTGCGCTTTAGGAGGAGTTCTGGGAAGCTGAAAGCTTACTCATTATATTGTAATTTATGAACTGCCCTAAGGTAGAATTATTTTCTTGCTTGGAATTTATTTGGAACAAGATTAAGTCAATATTTACCTCCTTCTTTTTCAGGATTGCTTTTTTCTGGAGTACTTTTACTGCATAGAATTGTTCTTCTGCCTTGTGCCTTGCAAGGAGAACCTGAAAGAAACCAAAGTTCTTGTAAGTTTAAGGGCAATTCCAAAAAACCAAATTAAAACTACAATTTCCTTTTTGATAGTTGCAAAAATACAGCTCAGTATAATTATAGGCTTAAAGTTTTGTATCTGAAGGGCAATACTTTAAAGACAGAGTTAGGCAATGAAGCCATCAAACCCCTCTTGAAGATAATCCAAATTCTCTCAGTCTTTAAGATAAATTGTTCTTTCTCAAGAATACCAATTTAACTGCACTTATTCAATTTATTTTCTCAACTTCATACTAAGACAAATGTCTTGGATGAGACTGACTCTCCCAAGGCCATGGGGATGCATTTTAAAATCAGTCTTCAGAACAAAGGATCCATCTGGCTATAAAAGCAATGAATGTTTTATCCTTAAAAAGCAATAAACAAAATCAAGACATAGCCTACCTTTCCAAAACTACCTTTCCCAATAACTTTCAGGAAATGGAAATCTGATGGTTTAGCATGAGGGTTAGATGATGGGCCAAGGTTGATTTGCTGAGATGGACTAGGCTGCAATGGAAAAAAAAAATCAAAAGCGTTAGATTTTTGTACTGAAATAGTTGGATACAGACTTAAAAAACAACAAATACAATTGTAAGCTATTTTGTGATGGGGCTTCAGAAAACATGCCCACTTGGGCTTCAGGGAAATAAAATGCTTATTTAAAAATGTTGCCACATTTCCTGCTTTAAATGAGGCAGAGAAATGAGACATGGCTCTTTAAAAAATCTTCTCTTTTAAATTAGCGTGCTGGATCTTTATTTTAAAACATCTCTTTCCAAGTTCAATATACATGGAACTAAGGCCACTTACTGGAGGAGAAGGATTGGCATTCATAAGTTCTGGTTCTTGAGGCTGGGAAATTTTCAGAATTGATTGTACTTCAGGACTGCAAGGATAAGACAGAATGGAATTAGTCCAATTACAACATGCCTGGAATATGGAAATTATCTCACCGCAAGGCGGCAGGCTAACTCTAATTGAGCAAAATTCAGGCTGGCAAGCTTAGAAAAGGCGATTGAAACTGCTTATTAGGTTTTGAAGGTAAGATGGAAAAAGAGACACAACACAAACCTGAGCAAACAGACTCAGGTTTCTTCTGTAATTGTAAGTCAGAGAAAAGGAATGGCAGAGAGATCAAAAAAATTCAGACAAAATGCCATTTCTCTGGATAGTTTTAGTCCCTATTGGGGCAACAGAAACACATACTATTTTCTAAAGCCAGTACCCTCCCCGGCCCTTCTCAAAAACAACTCCCACTGAGTTCAACGAGATTTGCTTGTAAGTAAGTGGCATAGGATTGCAGTCACTATAACATACTTTTATAGTGAAACTCTTCACAAATTATTAAAGCATCCACACGCACATTCTTAAGTCTACTTCCTAAATATGCTGAACTCAGTGGAACCTGACTCTGTGTAAGTTATCCATAGACTAGAAGTTCAATTTACAAACAGATCGTGTTTCAACTCCTCTCCTCCCTGGGGAAGAAGTTAGGTAACATCGCACAAGGCTATAATTAAATTGTTAACTTCCGTGGTATCTATCATGCAGAAAAGCAAAACATACTTACTGTTTGCATGCATAGGAGTTGGTGGCTATTTTTTGAATGAAGTCGTTCAGCCCCATTCTTCTCTGTTTCATGAAAGCTGCAAATAAGAAAACACAGAAAATATATCCCGATCAATCGACAACTTCCTTCGTGTTTTTTTAAAATTTATTTAGATGCTCTTTAAATGTATTTAAATTTAAAAAAAATTAAAATCAGATGCTCCTTGTAAATGTATTTATTTAGGCGCTCTTTCATCCGGCACTCCGAAAATAATCTCAAAGGAAATCTTTTTGTGTGAGCGGCTGAGGAGGCGACGCGGCTCGGTGACCCTCGCTCGATCCCCCTTACTCACCGATCAAAATCGCCACCATTCCTCTCATCTTTGAATAAGTTAGGGTGGATCCCGAAGCTTCAGTTTTGACCGTCATCGCAGAGCGAGTTAAAAAAAAAAAAGACAGATAGCAATAATCCAAGCCGAAGGGTGGAAAAAACCCAGATCGATCTACGACCGAGTTAAGCGAATGAGCGAGTCAGCAAGCCAAGCCAGCCCGCCAGCCAGCCCAAGGAAAAAGCGCAAAAAGGATGCGTAGCAAGCTCAGCCGTTCTCGGGCTGCAAAGAAAACTCCCGGCTGAGGCGCTCGCCAAAGGCTTTATATAAACGAGGGCCCGGCGCTTAGCAGTGGGAGGAGGAGAGGAAAAAGGGGAGGAGCCCGCAGGGAACAATGAGGAAGAGGCTGAGTCGCCGTTCCGGGCGCCCGGGAGCCGCCAGAAGATACGCAAAGCCTGGCGCCCAGCCGCAGGCAGCGCGCGGACCGCCCTTCCCTTCCTTCCTCCTTTCGCTTTGACGTTTCCAAGAGTCAGGCCAGGTGGGCCTGCGGGAGGGGAGGGGAGGGGAGGGGAAGGGAGGGAGGGAGGGGCAACTCAGAAGCTTTTTTCAAGAGGTTAGGAAAAAGCAGTGCGACGTTGGGGTCGGAATCTAGGAAGGTTAGAGAGGGTATTTTTTGTTAGTCCTGGGATCTTTGTGGGGGGAGGGGGGGGAAGAGGGAGGGAGAGAGCGGGAAAGCAATAAGGGATTAATTAATTCTCCTTTTTTTCCCCCTCCCCCACTCGCCTATTGAGAACTAGGGTGACCTTGGCTGCGTTCGTCGAGGGGAACCCAGCGGGGAAGGGGGCTTGGCGCGGTTTACAATTAGGCAAAATTGGCCACTTAGGACGGATTGCTCCGTTCCAAACGCAGCGCGGTTCTAAGACGGTGCGAGGCTCGGGGTGGGGGGTTCGGGTCCGTCTTTAAGTATTTTGTAGCTTTCCTTTAAGACTTTCACTAGTGGGATAAATGAATGCCTTTGGCCACACTCTGCCATCTCTGTAGCTACAGTTAGTGTGCCCCCCCACCTCCCATTCCTGAATCGGATGCTTGGTGTGAGGAAGGGTTTAGACCAAAGGAGTGTGTCTTTGCGTTTGTGTTTGTTTGTTTGTTTGTTTGTTTCTCCCGTGCATCCGTCTCTTTCCCCCCCCCACCCGCTTCCTTTTGCCACAGCCCCGAGGAAAACCTATCTCTTATCTACTTGCAGCATGGTGGCATTTTTCTTCTGTCAGAAATGCCCCTAGGGGGAGACCTTATTGCAGGATCAGCTTGTACTACAGATAAGAATGGTCCTTGCGACATTCCCCCGAGTACTGTAGTTCGCAACTTTTGCCCCTGAGGAAACTCGCAAACGGAGCGTGACGCTGGCGGCTCGTTTTCGCTTTTCTCTCCCCCACCCCCCCCCCCCCGGATCTGCACAGCTCGGCCCCCCCACAACTTTCCCCCTTACTAGTCATGGGAACAGAGCTTTACGGCGCGCTTTTTTGTTTTAGTCAGCCTTCTGAAATCGGGTGCGCGCCCCCCCCCCCCCAAGTGGTGGGCTTGCAATGTCAGAATTCCCAGCCAGCCATTGCAGGCTGGTTGCCGGAGGGCGCCTGGTTGGGGAACTAGTCTGCCCGTTGCTTAATCCTGTAAACTGTTTAAGTGACAGCTTAGTTATAGAACATAGGAAACATGAAACTTCAAAGTGCCGGTACACTGCATTCAAAGTGTTTTGCGAGTAATTCCTCTCTCCCTATCTGCGCTCGCATATACATTGAACGTTTCCCGTTTCCTTTAAGAGTTTGGCTTCCTAATTCAGTTACTCCGTGCAACACACCTATATAGGAATACATCTCATTAAAGTCCGTATGAATTATGCAGTAAACACGGTCGGTGTGCACATTTTCGCTTCTATTCCAAAGCATCGGAATCCGCAAAGCATTTTGGCAACCTGTAGTTCCAAACTGTCTTTAGAGTTCCCTCTCTCCAGTAATTGACTGGCATTTAAAACTGGCAGCCTCTTTGCAAACCAGACCAGACTCCCCCTTCCCTTTCTCTTTTAAAAAAAACCACCGCAGAGCAAATTCCGGCAGTGAAACAATAACCGCTGGAGCCTAAGCAAAGCCTGGGCTTATCAGATGGTATTTATTAATGACCCAAAAGCGTACCAAACACAGCAGCAAACAGAGTGGTTGTCCATTGGCTACAATAGTTGGTACCATCTCAACAACCAGCTTTAAAAGGAATCCTTAACCAAAGGAGGCATCCGGGGGCGGGAAGGGGGATTAAGTCTGCTGCCATTCAAACTCATCAAAGTCAGAATCGGTGGGGGTGGGAGGGAGGAAGCTCGTGGTTTTCCAGAAGGCAAGGCAGTCAAGTAGCCCCCAAGAAAGGAGAAAGTGTAACAATCGTCTATCCATCCATTTCTTACCAAAATCCTCACCAGAAATAACTGCACTTTTTTTTCCTTCTTCCTTGAGCCTCAATAATCCCTTCTTCCGTATCAGGTCTTTTAATGCCCGTTAAGTCTTTCGCCTCCGTTACGAAGAAAGGGGGAGCGGAGAAGTCCGGCTCGCGCGGCTCAAACTTTGTCCCGCAGCAAAAGCGACCGCAGCAGCGAGAGTCAGAGGTTGGTCAGGAATGGCCTTTTCAGTCAAGGAACCGCAGGGAGGGACTCAGGGAAACTGCGATTTCCTGCCCGGCTTTCTCAATTCAACCAACAAGAGCCCCTTGGAAGCAAGACCTTGGAGTTCACGCGGCTGCCTTGGGCTGTTCCCGAGAACACTTGGGGCCAAAACGTTCCAATACAAGTCGATAGATAAATAAATAAAATAATAAGCGGAGGGGGGAGGAGAAAAAAACCCGCACGATCTTCCCGAGCCGAAGAAAGCAATGGAAATTTCCATACAGTATTTGCAAAAGCCATGGAAGGAAACAGAGAAAAAAAAAGTTGATTGCTTTACCCTATTATTATCACTGTGATCCCAGAAGAACAATGCGTCCCTCTGAAAGACTATGTATTTATACGGCCGCTGCAATACAGCGGAACCCAAGAGGTTTGTTTATGAATGGATTAGGCCCAGATATCACCGGCCGGTGATCCAAAAACGCAGGTGGCAGGCAAGGCCCAGACTTGCAGAACAGATAATTGGGGAGCGCGAATGGGTGAGGGGGGGGGTGCTGCGACATCTCATCACCCCGAAAATGACGCCAGCGGAATCCCTAGCCTCAAAGACGCTTTTTATCTTCAAGGGAGACCCACAGACCTTTTGATGGAACCGGAACGGATGCCCCACCTGGTAGAGGCCTTGGTCCCTTATTGATAAGATTGCATTAAATAATATAGAATCGATTACATAACATATAAGGGGGGAGGAGATAGCAGCCTTCTCCACAGAATAGATCTTGTTGATTGATCAACTTTATTTTGTTGATTGTAACTCTGCCGTCAGGTACTGCCTCTGTGGTAACCTTCCCCACATATTTTTTGGGGGGTCACTTAATAAGGATGGGTGGGAATATAGGGGAACTTTGGAGGCCACTGATTTGGAGGGTGATGAAGCTTCAAATTTCATCCCTTTGCATCTTTCACCGTTCTTGCAACCTTACGCTTTGGGATCAAGTTATGAGACAAGTTCTCAGAAGGAATGCTATTGAATAACCCGAACGGGTGCTTTTCGCGTGCTTCTTTCTCAGGCTACCCACGACTCCTAGACGAGATTTGGGAGGAATGACTGCTAATTGAATTTATTTCCTTTTTTTTTTTTTTTAACAAACTGCCCCTCCCCTCTTCCAACGTAACATCTGCGTGCGCGCGCGCGCCCGAAAACATTTTTCGCTGCCGGGAAGCGGAACGGATGCTTTTGAAGTGCAGGTTACGCCGCAGAAGAACAACTCTTCCCTAAAGGGAAGAGCGCGCGACGGAGGCTGAGCTGAACCGTCCTCCTGTCCCACTGCTAATTTCTCTCTGGCTTGGCAAATGCAAGTTTGCAAAACGCAGCAAGGTCTCCGTTTGGTTAATTCGGCATCTAGAAGCCCGTGTAGCCGAATAATGAGAGCAACCGAGGCTTTAAAAGACATCAAGATCAGCTGCATTTCAGCTACAATTGCACAGCAGTCATAGCGCACAAAGCCAGTTCATTGGAAGTTCAGCCCCCCCGAGTCAAAAGATTGCCAGATGGCTTCTGTTTTCCAGCAGGGCTTGCTTTAGCGAAGAAAGGCAGAGCGCCCCCTGTAGCCGACTGCAACGTCCCTTTATAAACCATACATTCCATTGCTGACAACGCGCATGCTCCGTCACAGTTTTTCCTTTTCAGCCAACACAAGAAATTTCATCAAGGCACAGAAGCCATGAAAATATACTGCCGGTACTGTATTAGTTCCCAAATCGGAGGCAGGAAACATTAAGCCCTCCAACTAATGCTGAGCTACAACTCCTGGCAGCATCGCCAGCAAAGACCAGAAGTGATGAATTCAGGGATCTGTACTTCTGTAAGGTGCACAACAAGGTCATTTCTAATTTGAGTTCCTTTCTTTCTTGGTCTGTCAGCATTCTTTTTCAAGGTTGTCGAACTATGGAATTAACTAGTCCAAGTCTCAATGATACTCAATGGGTGCCATCTCAAAGCAAATGCTCTTGGAACAATTTAGATGTTCCGGCACCCCTATACTTACAAAAGGAAGAAAAGCCCAGGATCATGTTAATTAGTTCCAATCAACTATCTGTGGTAACATTATGCAAAGGATAATGG